TATCCAACATATTTTTTTTTTTTTTCAGTTACAGCAAATTCAGTTGTTACTAATCCAGCACAAACCATTCTTAAAATTATGATAAAATTCATTAAATAATTCAAAAGAACTACGTGAGGCTCATGTTCACATGGTTAGAGACAAAGGAAAAATCATCCATATTCACCCCTCAAATAGGCTCAAATAGGCTAACTATCCTCATGGTGCATGTGCCATTTCATGCAAAAAGCAATTTATCTCCATTTTTTGTCACCTCCCTCCTTCACTCCTTCCACGTTTCATTAAAACGCAACCTACGCTCCCCTTTTCCACCTCCATAAATTCCCACACTCACAATCCTCTTTCATCACCACCAACCCTCAACACATTCAACAAAAATCATGGCCCAGCTCTTATCACCACCCTTGAAAGATGACCTCGACATCGTTATCCCCACCATTAGAAACTTAGATTTCTTAGAGATGTGGCGCCCCTTCTTTCAGCCATACCACCTCATCATTGTTCAAGATGGAGATCCAACCAAGAAGATTCGTGTCCCTGAAGGTTTTGACTATGAGTTGTATAATAGAAACGATGTGAATCGGGTTCTTGGACCCAAGGCCAACTGCATTTCTTTCAAGGACTCCGCTTGTCGCTGCTTCGGATTCTTGGTCTCCAAGAAGAAGTATATCTTCACCATTGACGATGATTGCTTTGTAAGTTTGTCTAATTTTTCATTTGCATGCCTCTGTCAAAGGTAAAAAACGGGGATTTCAGTTTGACTAAAAAGTGGGCCCAAAAATCACATCTGATTTTCCAACATAGTCAAAATTGACCGGTCCAAGTAGAAAGAGAGATGAGAAGTAGCATTTTGCTTAGGTCTAGGGGTTTTCCCATTTAATTTATTTGTTATTGATTTCGTCTAAGTTGGTGTCAAATTATAACAAGTAATATTTAATTTTTTTTAGAAGCAAGAGTTATAACATGGTTTTTGTTTAATAAAAAAGGTGGCAAAGGATCCAAATGGAAAAGAGATAAATGCATTGGCAAAGCACATTGAGAATTTGTTGGCACCAGCAACACCATTCTTCTTCAACACTCTTTATGACCCATATAGGGAAGGAGCTGATTTTGTTAGGGGATACCCATTTAGCTTAAGGGAAGGCGTGCCTACTGCTATTTCTCATGGACTCTGGCTTAACATTCCTGACTACGATGCTCCTACTCAACTTGTCAAGCCTCGTGAGCGCAACACCAGGTTACTCCATTGCTGTCCTCTTATAATTTAATTATCAAATTATTGCTAATTGTGTATTGAATTTAGTTCTCACAGGTATGTGGATGCGGTCATGACAATCCCAAAAGGCACACTCTTCCCAATGTGTGGAATGAACCTGGCTTTCGATAGGGAACTCATAGGCCCTGCCATGTATTTTGGGCTCATGGGTGATGGCCAACCCATTGGCAGATATGATGATATGTGGGCTGGCTGGTGTGCCAAGGTATGTAGTTTGAATCACTTGTTTACCATTTTACTAATTAATTTTAAAACAGACATGATTGATGTTTGACATTATGAGTCTCCTTACTTGGTTGATATGATGATGAAAAATAGCTTCCTAATTTGCAACCTCAGGAATTGAACATTTCTGATGTCTTATTGAATTCTTTGTCAGGTGATATGTGATCATCTGAAACTTGGAGTGAAGACGGGACTGCCTTACATTTGGCACAGTAAGGCAAGCAACCCATTTGTGAATTTGAAGAAAGAATACAAGGGCATATACTGGCAGGAAGATATCATTCCATTCTTCCAAAATGTTGTCCTTCCAAAGGAATGCACTACTGTGCAGAAATGCTATATTGAGCTCTCCAAGCAGGTCAAGGAAAAGTTGGGGCCCCTCGATCCTTATTTTCAGAAACTTGGAGATGCCATGCTTACCTGGATTGAAGCTTGGGAGGACATCAACTCACCCGCAAAAGCTGCACTGTCTCAGGGCAATGGAGTTAAGAAGGATGAGTCCTCTACCAAACAAAAGTAGACAACCTTTATTCTGTTTACATGGTTTCTAATGTATTGAACTTCTCTAGCTACACACGCTATGGGTGTTCCCTGGCAGTGGATGTTTTAGATCGTCTATTGTTATTTCTATGTTTTTGTTGCTTTCATGTTGGAGGATTGTCGTTTCATGATTTCTACTAATAAAGATCGGAGGTTTTTTTTATCCTGACTGATGCACTTAATTAATTAGTTTGGTGAAACAAACATGGGTTTATTATCCGAACAACTGGTCATTGTAAAAGGACATGAACCTAACGATCAGATATATAGTGAAACAAATAGAGAGTTAAGATCACTAGTATAATTCAAAAGCTCTGCCTATCACTATCAGGAATGAGCAAAAAAAATGTGTAAATAGTACAAACAGGAAATCAAATGAAATGTCTAATCCAACCAACAAATATTATAGGACTACCTATTTTCAATAGATTGATGTCTTACAAGACACTGAGAAATCAAAATGTTAAATCAAGTGTTTGGTGGTGCAACTATTCACCCAGCACTTAAGATGAAAAAATGTGTGATAGGTTTTTTTTTTTTTTTTTTTGGAAAATTTTAGAATAATCATGAAAAATATCCTATAAAAATCCTAATAAATCATGTAAGATACCAAATAAAAGTATATTATTTAGTTAAAGCCTGAGGCATTACAATTTATAGAGCGTCAGGTAAAGCATGTGGGTTGGCTAATATAGTCTCTGAGAAGTAGTTGAAAAATAGTTTTAAGGAATGTTTGATATAAAAGACGGTTCGAGGAACCAAGAAAAGGATGAAGAACGGCCCATTTTCGTATAAGCAAAAAGGTCTTGTACTATACTCTCTAATAAGAATTCTCTCTGCTCCAAAACAACAAAATCGTTTCATCCTCACCCTTTTAATCAACCTACAACTCATTCACTCTTTTTTTTTCAAAACATCATGTCTACAATCTTTGGTATTTTAATGCCAATATATGAATTAATTTATACCGACAGTATTTCATACTGTCACCAAAAAGATTACGAAGTGATTACCAGAGGCTTGAGCAATAGAACCAATGTTAAGAGAACTAGCTTAGCTGAAAGAAACCAGATTTTATGTTGCTAGACCAAGATGAAGCAAGCAATAGTTGCAAATTAAATTGCAATGCTGCTTGGGTGAGATATACTGCATCTGTCTCTGTTAGTTCTCCAGAACAATATAAATTCAGCAGTAGAGTAACTCTGAATTGAGGAATTCTATAGTCAAAATTGTGTGGGACTACTAGACTCTTTTTCGAATTTCAAGCAATTGGAAAAGTTTCAGAAGTAAACAATAGATGAAGGCAGTGCCAGCTGCAGCCCTGCGCAAATAAGTTTGGTGGTAATCTATTAAGAAGCTATTCTTGCTTCACCACCTAAGAAAAAAAAAAGCCTATGAATTAACATACATTAAATTTATATTAAAATGACTTATCCCTCTTTTCCAATTCCATTTCGAATCCGTATATAAGACCTTCACTTCGATGTTAAAAATCAGATAATTTGGTTAGAAATGGCTTCGAATAAATGATATATTTTGTCGACATTTGGTATATTCCTTTCTGTTATGCCTAAAAAATCAAGGTTGATGTAAACTTATATCAGCTAGCTCCAATCAGAATTCAGGAAGGTTTTGCATTGTTTAGGAGTTGTCACATCACCCCAAGACAGAAAGAATACGATTGTCACTAATTTGGCAGATTCAGATTTTGTCTATGAGTGAATGGGAGCCACACACCTGTCCAAGCCCTAGGTAATTTGGGAAAATATCCTAAGTTATTAGCCAATGAGAGGTAAGAAAAGACTTTTATGACACTTACCCACTTGTAGATTTGTAATCATTATATTGAATTCCTCTACTATAAATAGAGGGTTCCCCCTCTCATTTTTGGGATTCGGAGACAAAAAACTCACACTTTGATTGTAATCTATATTCTTAGAGCAAAGATAACCTAAGAAAAAAAGATTGACTTAATATTCTATCTGAATAATCAATTATTGTACCTCTACTCGTTGTTCGCTATACGTGACCTCTTGTAATCAGTAGCGGATCCAGAAATTTCTTTTAGGGTGGGCCAAAATAAAAATTTATTATACATTACTATTTTTGTTAGGGTGGGCCAAAATATATAAATTATATATATTAATATTAAAAAAGAAAAATGGCCCACCCAAAAAGTGGCTGGATCCGCCACTGCTTGTAATCTCTCATATATAAAAGAACTCACACTTTAATTGTAATCTATATTATTCTCAGAGCAAAGATAACCTAAGAGAAATAGACTGACTTAATATTCTATCTGAATAATCAGTTATTGTACCTCTACTCGTTGTTCGTTATACACGACTTTTTGTAATATCTTATATATAAAAGAATAGTAGATGTAGGACTTGCATTAAGCATCTGAACCACTTTAAAAATTGTCTTTTAATTATTATTTAGTTTTTGTATTAGATTATCTATAATCATTTATGTGTAACTTCTAAAAACAACTTAACACTTTACACGTAGAAGTTATTGGTATCAAAATCAAATATCAATGTCTTCCTTGTTATGGAGCTAGATAAAGCCTTAAGCGGGAGAAGGCAGAAGTCCTCGCCTTTAAACTATTTATGAACATTAATTAGCTCATATACTTTACCATGGAAACTGACCTGTAACTTTATATAAATACTCAAATTTTTCTATGTTGAAACTTCCTATTCTTAGTAATGTTTGCATGAACAGTAGTAATATATTTGAATTATTCTTATCTTTTCATAAACTTTTCACTGTTCTTATGACTTTACGTGACGTTTACGACACAGCTTTCTCTATTTGAGAGGCTGCACCCATGAATGTCACCTCTATCTTTCAATTTTCTCTGTAGTCAGTGAAATTGGACGTTGCCCATTCAGCCGCCCACCTTTTTTATTTCTTTATAAATATTCTGCCTTTTCCCAACTCATAAGCCTCCTCTTCTTCTCATTTTTTTAATTACTTGATATTAAGTAGCTTTGGTGTTTCTTACTTACCAATCCTATGTCCATGGATAACTACCACATGCTTCTCTCTGGTTCACAAAGATTTTCAACTTCTCGATCCTCTTTAAACATGGGAAATCCACAAACCCATCATTTTGATGCTCAGAATATCGGGAATGAGAGCAAGGCAGAATGTAAAAGTCAATATCCAGATAACACAAACATTTCTGACAGTGGAATTACCTCTCACAGTTCTGGGAGTGAGGTTAAAGCAAATAGCAAAGGAGAAAACAAGGGACTCAAAAAGCACAGATACGCATTTCAAACAAGAAGCCAGATTGACATACTGGATGATGGGTATCGGTGGAGGAAATATGGCCAAAAAACAGTTAAGAGCGGTAAATTCCCCAGGTAATTAGTATCAACCTTCTTTTCAACCTGATTAATCTAATTATTGGTAGCATAACATTGAAAACGGAATTATTTATCCAATTATAGCTGCAAAAGAGAGAAAACCAGACTTCATCTCTTGATAAACCTCGCTGAGCGAAAGGAATCTAGTGCAACTGCTCCTTCACGATTTGCATCGTTGCATGGATGCATCATGCATGTTGTATGTGGAGTATATAAGATGAGATGCATCTATAATTTATTGTAACATCATTGAGTACTTTAAAGCAATCAAGATCTTAATTTTACAATAGCTAATTAACATATAAATTCATAAAAGAGAAATAACGACATATGAAATAATTTTATATGGGTTTTGGTCTTCCATACCATGAAGATGATTTTCAAGTTCAAGTGCTTTATTTCTACATTCAAGTTATTTGTTTAGACGTGGAGAGTACTTTCGTTTCGTACTATATTCGTGAAGAACTTGACTGAATCAGTTGTTTTAAATACAGGCCGCATATTTTTGAATAAGGCAAAAAAAGAAAAGTTTTAGCTCATTTTCGAAGTTGATTTGGGAATAAAGGTCAATACTTGAATAATGCTTGCAGCATACATATTCTGTAACTCCAGCTTGTCAAATTCTTTCTTTAGCTAAAAATTGAAACTTTCTCATTCTATCATATCTCCATATCAAGCGAAGTCAAGTTTGTCCATAGTTTCTGTGATTGGTTTTATCTTCGGAATAATGGATACAATCTTATCAAGTCACCTAGGAGATATACTGTTATAATTTTCCAATGCACTCGTATTCATATTTGATCGTTTTAGCTACCTTTCACCGTTTTGGGTCAAATGCACTCAAGGACATATTATTTAATTATACCTGATAATGTCACCTTGCCTTGCCTCTAGTTCTCTTGGTAATCATGTATTGCTAAAATATTATTCTTTTATAGCAAACAAATATGCTTCTTAATCATTACTTCTTTTATATCAGAAAGGAAAAGGTTGTATTTAGGGAAAATCTCAGGAGCTAATTCATTGATATCTCTTGTCTAGCAGAAGTTACTACAAATGTACGCATAAAGGGTGCAATGTGAAGAAACAAATCCAACGCAGTTCCAAAGACGAAGAAATTGTGGTGACTACCTATGAAGGGATGCACACACATCCAATTGGGAAGTTAGCTGACAACTTTGATCAGATTTTGCGTCAGATGCAAGCCAACACTGCTACTTTCTAAACTTAATGTTACTATTCTTCAAATGTAAACAGTTTGTAATACCCTATTTACCTGAGCTTGTTTCTTAAAATATATAAACTCATATAGAATTATATATATGTGAGATAAATCAGAGAGGTAGGTTGACAAATAGCGGTTCAATTCTGATATGTGATGCTTTCTTCAACAATTCTTAGCATATGATGGGTTATAGCTGAAGTGATGTGGAACGATTTGGCAGATCCATCCACCCACTTAGAGAAAAGCCTGAATACAAAAGCATTTGGACAAATAAAATAATTAAGTTGAAGTTGGTAGAAAGAGCACCAAGGAGATTATATTCTGCTTTGACTTTACAAAGCAGCCTTTACTTTGAGCTCATTATGAGTCACCATTCTATCAGCTAAGTTGCAATTTTTATATATAACAGATGGTAAAATCGTAAGAACAAACATTTTCAACAGAATTTAGAAAACCTCTCATCTCTGTCTCAAGATTAGTGTTCCACTTTAACAAGAGAAAATGACACAATACAGCCATTTAAAGAAACAAATGTATGTCCACTTCATTGAATCTTATATAAATCAGTAGCTTGGTTTTGTGATATATATTATTATTGGTCGTTTCGAGTTTCTTTTTTTGGATCAACTATCAAGTGATTGTAGATGAGGTAGTTGCTTGAATCCAACGTCTGTGCTTTTTACAATTTCCTTTAGGATTAATATTTGCTCTTTTTTCTTTCCAGTAGTTTTTTGTATTTGTTTGATCATATTAATAGGCTGCACTCCTCGATCTTCGTAATCTAAAACTATACATGCATGGTGAGAAATGGAAATGCGAGAAGACGTTTAACCCATGATGAATTCAGTAGCATTCTCCTTCGATATGTGACCAAACCAATAAATTCTCCTTATAAAATTGAACATATACCCTTCTAACGGCAATTAGTAGAAAGTAGAAAAAGTAGTGGTGAGATAGAAGCAAGGGCAGATTCATGTGCAGAGAGAAAAATGAAAAAGATTTGCTGATATAGACAGTGCGCTTAGTTATTCATAGTCTCCTCAATTATCAACACCGAATTTTCTACGGTTGGGTGTGTCTTTTTCTGTCATCATGTCATGTCAATCTAATTTGCTATTATTATCCCCATCTCATCACCAGAAGTGCTTACAGTTACGGTTAGTTTTCTTCTGTAGTTATTCAATTCTTGCAGCAACTGGTATGATGTGTCAGTAATTGTCATCTTTAATTTGTTCGATTCACCACTAAATCAACTGTTAACTTGTAGGAATAGAACACTAGAAACGTATTCAACTTTTACAAATCTTATGAAGACGTATACCTAAATGCCCTTTAATTCATCACGTAAATCCTATTTGGTATGCCAATGGCTTCAATCAAACTGCTTTTTATTTTTGAATAGATTAAACATGAGCTGCAGAGTCATTTAACGATGTGTTCAGTTAAATATAAATATAGCTTTCAAAGATTGATGATAATACTTTTAAATTTTAAATCTAAAATTATTCACATCAATTTCGGGATCCTTAGACCCAAGGCCCATTAACGCTCTGGGCTTTAAATTTTTTTCTCCTCCACCGTGGAGGAATACAGAGTGCTTACCACTCTTGCATTCACAATTAAACGCGTCAAAAGAAAAATCCTAAGAACTTGAAAGAGAGTAAATTTTTAGATAAATCATCAATTATCTAAGCAGGAACTGTGGTTTTCCATTATAAGATGCCTTGGAGGATCTATGTTACGGCTATGAGTGTTGGTGTGTGAGTATAGATTATATTTATTTAAGTATTTTTTAGGCATATTTCTAGGTCTAAGAAAGAACATGCACCATAAAAAAATTGATAGCACAAAAAATTGAGTCATTCCTTATCAATTGGAATATCAACAAAAAGAAATCAGAGATACACATAGTTTTAAATAATGCAGGAATCAATGTAAAACTGACAAAAAGTAGAAAGTGAAAAGAAAGATAAATTTCATGTTGGGACAAGGATGATCACCTCATCTTCATTTCTATATCCAGAAAACCTCCTTATTGAGGTGATAATAATAATACCAACTACACATACAATCCACGCAACAACACCCCAACCCGACCATCTTCTTCCACTTTCACCTCTTTTCCCTTCTCCTAATTCCTTCACTTCCCTATCTACATTCTCACAATTACTAGTACAACAAACATACAACTCCTCTTCAATCCCACCATCACTTTCTTCCTCATCATCAGAATCGTAAGAAGACAACGACCTTACCTCACAGTCTTCACTTATCAGACCATTCCAACCATTGTCTATCTCTTCTCTTGTTTCCGCAAAAAGCCTTCTTCCCTTCAACTTACCACTCTCAATGGCCGCCCTTCTCTCTAGTAGTATCTCTATAACCGCCAAGTCATTGTTCCTCACCCTCCAGGCTACTTCATCGGAAGGAGACCTCCTGTGCTGCAGTGAGGACATGAGGGTTCTTGGAGAATTGTCTGGCGGTGGAAGAGCTTTAGCCATAATGGTGGAGTCTCTTGTGTTGAGCGTCTTTGTAAGACTGAGCTTTGACCCACTCTTCTAAACAATTGGTTTTATCTTCGGAATAATGGATACAATCTTATCAAGTCACCTGGAGATATACTGTTATAATTTTCAATGCACTCGTATTATATTTGATCGTTTTAGCTACCTTTCACCGTTTTGGGTCAAATGCACTCAAGGACATAATTATTAATTATACCTGATAAGTGCACCTTGCCTTGCCTCTAGTTCTCTTGGTAATCTATATTGCTAAAATATATTCTTTTATAGCAAACAAATATGCTTCTTAATCATTACTCTTTTATATCAGAAAGGAAAAGGTGTATTTAGGGAAAATCCAGGAGCTAATCATTGATATCTTTGTCTAGCAGAAGTTACTACAAATGTACGCATAAGGGTGCAATGTGAAGAAACAAATCCCACGCAGTTCCAAAGACGAAGAAATTGTGGTGACTACCTATGAAGGGATGCACACACATCCAATTGGGAAGTTAGCTGACAACTTTGATCAGATTTTGCGTCAGATGCAAGCCACACTGCTACTTCTAAACTTAATGTTTACTATTCTTCAAATGTAAACAGTTTGTAATACCCTATTTACCTGAGCTTGTTCTTAAAATACAGAATGACTTATCCCTCTTTTCCAATTCCATTTCGAATCCGTATATAAGACCTTCACTTCGATGTCAAAATCCAGATAATTTGGTTAGAAATGGCTTTGAATAAATGATATATTTTGTCAACATTTGGTATATTCATTTCTGTTATGCCCAAAAAATCAGGACTGATATAAGCTTACATCAGTTAGCTCCAATCAGAGTCAGAAAGGTTTTGCATTGTTCAGGAGTTGTCACGTCACCCCAAGACAGAAAGAATACGGTTGTCACCAACTTGGCAGATTCAGATTTTGTCTATGAGTGAATATGAGCCACACACCTATCCAAGTCTCAGGTAATCTGGGGATATATCCTAAGTTATCAGCCAATGGGAGGTTATGAAGAATTTTTATGGCACTTACCCACTTGTAGATTTGTAATCATTATATTGAATTCCTCTACTATAAATAAAGGGTTCCCCCTCTCATTTTCGGGATTCGGAGACAAAAAACTCACATTTTGATTGTAATCTATATTCTCATAGCAAAGATAACCTAAGAGAAATATATTGACTTAATATTCTATCTGAATAATCAGTTATTATACCTCTACTCGTTATTTGCTATACGTAACCTCTTGTAATCTCTCATATATAAAAGAACTCACATTTTGATTGCAATCATATTATTCTCAAGAGTAAAGATAACCTAAGAGAAAGAGACTGACTTAATATTCTATCTGAATAATCAGTTATTGTACCTCTATTCGTTGTTCGCTATATGCGACCTCTTGTAATCTCTCATATATAAAAGAACAATGAACGTAGGACTTGCATTAAGCATCCGAACCACTTTAAAAATTGTCTTTCAATTATTATTTAGTCTTTACATTAGATTATCTGTAATCATTACGTGTAACTTCAAAAAACAACTTAACACTTTACACATGTAAGTTATTGGTATCAAAATTAAACATCTAACATTTTTCTTGTTATGTAGCTAGAGAAAGCCTTAAGCAGAAGAAGGCAGAAGTCCTCGCCTTTAAACTATTTATGAACATTAATTAGCTCATATACTTTACCATGGAAACTGACCTGTAACTTAATTTATATAATTACTCACTTTTTTCTTTGTTGAAACTTGTTATTCTTAGTAATGTTTGCATAAACAGTAGTAATATATTTGAATTATTCTTATCTTTTCATAAACTTTTCACTGTTCTTATGACTTTACGTGACGTTTACGGCACAGCTTTCTCTATTTGAGAGGCTGCACCTATGAATGTCACCTCTATCTTTCAATTTTCTCTGTAGTCAGTGAAATTGGACGTTGCCCATTCAGCCGCCCACCTTTTTTATTTCTTTATAAATATTCTGCCTTTTCCCAACTCATAAACCTCCTCTTCTTCTCATTTTTTTAATTACTTGATATTAAGTAGCTTTGGTGTTTCTTACTTACCAATCCTATGTCCATGGATAACTACCACATGCTTCTCTCTGGTTCACAAAGATTTTCAACTTCTCGATCCTCTTTAAACATGGGAAATCCACAAACCCATCATTTTGATGCTCAGAATATCGGGAATGAGAGCAAGGCAGAATGTAAAAGTCAATATCCAGATAACACAAACATTTCTGACAGTGGAATTACCTCTCACAGTTCTGGGAGTGAGGTTAAAGCAAATAGCAAAGGAGAAAACAAGGGACTCAAAAAGCACAGGTACGCATTTCAAACAAGGAGCCAGATTGACATACTGGATGACGGGTATCGGTGGAGGAAATATGGCCAAAAAACAGTTAAGAGCGGTAAATTCCCCAGGTAATTAGTATTAACCTTCTTTTCAACCTGATTAATCTAATTATTGGTAGCATAACATTGAAAACGGAATTATTTATCCAATTATAGCTGCAAAATAGAGAAAACCAGACATCATCTCTTGATAAACCTCGCTGAGCGAAGGGAATCTAGTGCAACTGCTCCTTCACGATTTGCATCGTTGCATGGATGCATCATGCATGTTGTATGTAGAGTATATAAGATGAGATGCATCTATAATTTTATTGTAACATCATTGAGTACTTTAAAGCAATCAAGATCTTAATTTTACAATAGCTAATTAATATATAAATTCATAAAAGAGAAATAACGACATATGAAATAATTTTATATGGGTTTTGGTCTTCCATACCATGAAGATGATTTTCAAGTTCAAGTGCTTTATTTCTACATTCAAGTTATTTGTTTAGACGTGGAGAGTACTTTCGTTTCGTACTATATTCGTGAAGAACTTGACTGAATCAGTTGTTTTAAATACAGGCTGCATATTTTTGAATAAGGCAAAAAAAGAAAAGTTTTAGCTCATTTTCGAAGTTGATTTGGGAATAAAGGTCAATACTTGAATAATGCTTGCAGCATACATATTCTGTAACTCCAGCTTGTCAAATTCTTTCTTTAGCAAAAAATTGAAACTTTCTCATTCTATCATATCTCCATATCAAACGAAGTCAAGTTTGTCCATAGTTTCTGTGATTGGTTTTATCTTCGGAATAATGGATACAATCTTATCAAGTCACCTTGGAGATATACTGTTAATAATTTTCCAATGCACTCGTATTCATATTTGATCGTTTTAGCTACCTTTCACCGTTTTGGGTCAAATGCACTCAAGGACATATTATTTAATTATACCTGATAATGTCACCTTGCCTTGCCTCTAGTTCTCTTGGTAATCATATATTGCTAAAATACTATTCTTTTATAGCAAACAAATATGCTTCTTAATCATTACTGCTTTTATATCAGAAAGGAAAAGGTTGTATTTAGGGAAAATCGCAGGAGCTAATTCATTGATATCTTTTGTCTAGCAGAAGTTACTACAAATGTACGCATAAAGGGTGCAATGTGAAGAAACAAATCCAACGCAGTTCCAAAGACGAAGAAATTGTGGTGACTACCTATGAAGGGATGCACACACATCCAATTGGGAAGTTAGCTGACAACTTTGATCAGATTTTGCGTCAGATGCAAGCCTACACTGCTACTTTCTAAACTTAATTTTACTATTCTTCAAATGTAAACAGTTTGTAATACCCTATTTACCTGAGCCTGTTTCTTAAAATACATAAACTCATATAGAATTATGTATATGTGAGATAAATCAGAGAGGTAGGTTGACAAATAGCGGTTCAATTCTGATATGTGATGCTTTCTTCAACAATTCTTAGCATATGATGGGTTATAGTTGAAGTGATGTGGAACGATTTGGCAGATCCATCCACCCACTTAGAGAAAAGCCAGAATACAAAAGCATTTGGACAAATAAAATAATTAAGTTGAAGTTGGTAGAAAGAGCACCAAGAAGATTATATTCTGCTTTGACTTTACAAAGCAGCCTTTACTTTGAGCTCATTATGAGTCACCATTCTATCAGCTAAGTTGCAATTTTTATATATAACAGATGGTAAAATCGTAAGAACAAACATTTTCAACAGAATTTAGAAAACCTCTCATCTCTGTCTCAAGATTAGTGTTCCACTTTAACAAGAGAAAATGACACAATACAGCCATTTAAAGAAACAAATGTATGTCCACTTCATTGAATCTTATATAAATCAGTAGCTTGGTTTTGTGATATATATTATTATTGGTCGTTTCGAGTTTCTTTTTTTGGATCAACTATCAAGTGATTGTAGATGAGGTAGTTGCTTGAATCCAACGTCTGTGCTTTTTACAATTTAATTTAGGATTAATATTTGCCCTTTTTTCTTTCTAGCAGTTTTTTGAATTCGTTTGATCATATTAATAGGCTGCACTCCTCGATCTTCGTAATCTAAAACTATACATGCATGGTGAGAAATGGAAATGCGAGAAGACGTTTAACCCATGATGAATTCAGTAGCATTCTCCTTCGATATGTGACCAAACCAATAAATTCTCCTTATAAAATTGAACATATACCCTTCTAACGGCAATTAGTAGAAAGTAGAAAAAGTAGTGGTGAGATAGAAGCAAGGGCAGATTCATGTGCAGAGAGAAAAATGAAAAAGATTTGCTGATATAGACAGTGCGCTTAGTTATTCATAGTCTCCTCAATTATCAACACCGAATTTTCTAGGGTTGGGTGTGTCTTTTTCTGTCATCATGTCATGTCAATCTAATTTGCTATTATTATCCCCATCTCATCACCAGAAGTGCTTACAGTTACGGTTAGTTTTCTTCTGTAGTTATTCAATTCTTGCGGCAACTGGTATGATGTGTCAGTAATTGTCATCTTTAATTTGTTCGATTCACCACTAAATCAGCTGTTAACTTGTAGGAACAGAACACTAGAAACGTATTCAACCTTTACAAATCTTATGAAGACGTATACCTAAATGCCCTTTAATTCATCACGTAAATCCTATTTGGTATGCCAATGGCTTCAATCAAACTGCTTTTTATTTTTGAATAGATTAAACATGAGCCGCAGAGTCATTTAACGATGTGTTTAGTTAAATATAAATATAGCTTTCAAAGATTGATGATAATACTATTAAATTTTAAATCTAAAATTATTCACATCAATTTCGGGATCTTTAGACCCAAGGCCCCTTAACGCTCTGGGCTTTAAATTGTTTTCTCCTCCACCATGGAGGAATACAGAGTGCTTACTACTCTTGCAGTCATAATTAAACGCGTCAAAAGAAAAATCCTAAGAACTTGAAAGAGAGTAAATTTTTAGATAAATCATCAATTATCTAAGCAGGAACTGTGGTTTTCCATTATAAGATGCCTTGGAGGATCTATGTTACGGCTATGAGTGTTGGTGTGTGAGTATAGATTATATTTATTTAAGTATTTTTTAGGCATATTTCTAGGTCTAAGAAAGAACATGCACCATAAAAAAATTGATAGCACAAAAAATTGAGTCATTCCTTATCAATTGGAATATCAACAAAAAGAAATCAGAGATACACATAGTTTTAAATAATGCAGGAATCAATGTAAAACTGACAAAAAGTAGAAAGTGAAAAGAAAGATAAATTTCATGTTGGGACAAGGATGATCACCTCATCTTCATTTCTATATCCAGAAAACCTCCTTATTGAGGTGATAATAATAATACCAACTACACATACAATCCACGCAACAACACCCCAACCCGACCATCTTCTTCCACTTTCACCTCTTTTCCCTTCTCCTAATTCCTTCACTTCCCTATCTACATTCTCACAATTACTAGTACAACAAACATACAACTCCTCTTCAATCCCACCATCACTTTCTTCCTCATCATCAGAATCGTAAGAAGACAATGACCTGACCTCACAATCTTCACTCATCAGACCATTCCAACCATTGTCTATCTCTTCTCTTGTTTCCGCAAAAAGCCTTCTTCCCTTCAATTTACCACTCTCAATGGCCGCCCTTCTCTCTAGCAGTATCTCCATAACCGCCAAGTCATTGTTCCTCACCTTCCAGGCTACTTCATCGGAAGGAGACCTCCTGTGCTGCAGTGAGGACATGAGGGTTCTTGGAGAATTGTCTGGCGGTGGAAGAGCTTTAGCCATAATGGTGGAGTCTCTTGTGTTGAGCGTCTTTGTAAGACTGAGCTTTGACCCACTCTTCTAAACAAATAATATTACACATATAATATTTTTTCTACAATATTATATGGCAAAATACGATTGATTGATTTTAAATTAAAATTAAACTTTCACCCAATCATCTTTTGTCACATAATGTTTGTATGAGAATATTAGTACGTGTAGTATAATTTTAAATGGTCTTTCCATAATAGAGTCTCTTCGTTTTTTTATTATATTTTGGAGATAATTTGAATTCACGTTACTGGGTGAGAATGAGATTATTGCGGGATAAGCATTTTTCCATATCTTACTCAATCACTATTTTAAAATTTTGATTTTGGCTCTACCCTTTAATTTTTTTTTGTTATTGGATGGATGATGAAAGATAATATCTTACCTATTAACTAAGACTCAAATAACCAAATTCAAAACTTACATCATCATCATATGACCCTCATTCTTTAACATGATTCATCTTTATGAGAAAGCAAACATTTACTACTGCCTACCACTCAACTGCTTTTCCACAATCTGGTTCCTAGGATTTTGGCTCCTTTTTTCGCATTTAACCTTTCACTATTCCCGTTTCATGATTCCCTGCACTTCTATCCATCTACCGTTTCTGTATTGCGTTCTAATCTAAGACATTTACCAAAAAGAAATTATTTTCCCCTTTTAATTAAAGGCTAAAGTAGATTTAGGCATGATTAATCTTTAAATTTCTTCTAATTGAGCAGACATACTAATTTATTGTGTCCCACCACCCATGATGAATAAAAGAATCGGCTCCTCCTCTTTCCATACGGACCAGACCCTCGCAAAAATCCATGTCACTATGAAGATCTTCAGCGCTCTGACAAGGGGATGACCCGCTGTCACGTATATTTTAAATGTCATCCGCGCCATGGCTCCTTCCCTTCATGCAGATCGCAGAAACAAAATGTCACTATGGCAATAGCACATCATTCACTCTCGCACCACATCCAATACATTCCTCATGTATCACCTTCCATACTAGGACAAGAATTATTGATAATTCACCTATTTCTCCTACACGTAAATTATAGATAAATTCACTGAAGCGCTTACATAAATAACAAATCATTGCACTTTGTCGTTGTGCTGAAAGTTAACACGAAATTCCTCCTCCCTTAATCACCTGTCAATGCTATAAAGCACTGCCATGAACAACTGCAGAAAGAAATCAGTCTTACGAAGCTACAATATCTATGAGAGATGGTCAACTGATCCTAGAAAATCAATGGAATCTCTACGTTCTTCTATATCTGAGCACTGGACGGCCAATAAAATTAAATTTCTACTCCAATGTTAGACCCCTGGAAACAGCTACTCTAGCTTCCTGTTTCTGTGTTTGATATGTCTTCCACTATGCCTTTCCCATCCATAACATCAAAGAAGAAAAAGTTCTTGAGAGGATCACCTTTGCCCGATAATGCTTTAATAACCTCCTAAAAAGTTTAATAGTCAGCAACATTAAATAAAAGTACTATTCCCTATAAATAAATTAATAAGGAAGTAATAGGGTGGAATTTCACCTGCCCAAGGATTCCTCCAATGATGGCACAAACTGGAGGAAATTCTCTTGCACCCATGATCAATCTTTCTAGGAGGGTATCAGGAATACGAGATGCATTGAGTGACTGCAACATAAATGGGATATCACCACTAGGAAGATGTACAACATGAATACAATAAAAAATCAAAAAAACATATGCTAAGACACATTACAAGTGCCTTACATTTGCCTCACAAATTTCCTTCTTCAGCTTCAGAACACCGGGCAGATCGGCAATTGAAATCTCTCCCACACCACGTCCTTCTGCTTCTTCAAACTGTTCAATCACTACATGTTGGTATGATACACGTTATTTTATTATACACATTCAAATTTATGAATTCTAAATTCAATGACGAAAACAGTACAACTAATCCTCCTTAAAGATGCTATATAATGGCAGGACACTGAAATTGCGAAAAAGATCAGTCTAAAAGTGTACAATAATTAGTGAATTAAATCTGCACTCAGGAAGACACAAAAAAAGACCATTGTCTGCAACTAAAGGGTTCCACCAACAAAGGGACACATGTAAAATGTTTGTTAAATCTCTGTAGTTAAAATAACTTTTCTCAACTAGTTCATATCGATTCCTCTTTTTTTCCCTTATTTAAAACAGAACAACTACTTAAATTACCATACCTCTCATAGCAAAGTAAAGCTTTGATGTTTTCCTAGGAAGCACTTTCCATGGTACAGATATTGCTTCCTGAAATGGGGAAACCGCATACATATAAAATCAACAAAGCACCAACATAAATATAGTTAATCACAAAAAATTATACATAAAAAAAGCAAAAATATTTTGAAAACTAATGCTAATTTAAAAATCGGTAGCAATCCTTAATGCCTGTCACATGTATAATTGGATGGACTGTTCAGAGATTCAGGTGAAAGACAGTGCCACAAAACACACACCCATCCACACACACACAGATATTCTTTTGCTAGGAAACAAAGATGAATACAGCATCTTGCATACTAGCCGGAATTGCACATTACTATGTGCAGAGTGCAACATGAATTGGAGACCAAATGACAGGAATCTGGATCAAGCACTCTGGTATACCAATACAGTACGAGAAAGTAGCGAGCACAGAAGAAGAGCATGGCAAAAAAAGAAAAAACAGATAGAGAGAGATATGCAAAAAGATACAATATCATTAAGCTTAATACCTCAAA